CTACTTTCATGGAGGTAGCTCCATGGAGGTAATTAGTGCAGACCCCTCTCTAATGTCTTTGGAAGAAAGGTACAGAAATATGTACACTGCAGTGTGAAAGTATACCGATCTCTGGATCACACATTAGCACGACTCGGACCATTACCAACTCGGGGATAATTAGTGGCAGGCACTGCTGAAGGTGAATTTAATTACGTATAATTTTCAAAGTATCCGTCCGACTTTTAATTGCTTTGCTACAAAATACAATTATGGTCTATTAAAGTGAGAAATCTTTCAGAGTCAAAATGAACTCAGATTTTTATTTTCTCTTGTCTAAAAGTGATACATGACTTTTATTTCAAACAGGCAACTATGAATCGTTGTAATTCTAGATAAAACTCTATATTCCACTGTGTCTACGTCTGAAATAGAATTGCAATTGCCAAACTTGCTTTCTCTCCTCCAAAATTAAAAGAAACCTCGGACTTATTCTTGCCAACTTTTCTTCAACTTTGACACTGCCAATCGCAATAAGAAGGGCATTGCGTGACTTCACCTACACATGAAGTCATAAAAGTAATAAACATATGCATATTCAATTGGCACAGCGTCTACTTCTTGCGCCAAAGGGTTATACAGATGCATATACAGAAGGTGGTGTGTTACCCCGAAGGGCAGTTTTACTGGTTATACATGTACATGTACAGAAGCTAGTGTGTTATGCTTAAGGATGGTTATGGTCGCATAACACAGTATTTATGGGTGAATCCTGAAGTCAAAAGTAGTCCGGGCACAAAGTAGTGCGGCACAGCTGATTTTCACATATTTTGTAGGGTGTACCCTCAACCCAAACATACTGAAGTTTTGTAACTTTCTTGTGTACCCTACTACAAATTGTATGGCGACGAACTTTTTTACTTTGGGCTCCTTAACTATAGAAGTCCCCATTGGTCAAAAACTGTGTACTACTACCTTATACCAGCTGTACAGATACAAAAGCTGGTTTCTATGAGAAACAGGTCGTGAATTGATACAGCCACATTAGAACTTTCAAGAATGTTCTTCGCGTGAAAGAACTTCTGTCTGCGAGTGGTACAAGAAACTGTAGATTATCTTCGTATGGAAACTGAAAACATTACTACCAAATGTACAGCGCTATTTTATTTCCATTCTATTCAGTATTTCTCCAATGTAAAACAAAATACTAGGAACATTTGGAAAAAATCTAAACCAATGCTATATTGAATCATCAATCTTGAATTTTCAAAAATAGTTTTTTTTTTCATGATAAAGCCTAAAATACATTGTAAACATACTAAAGATTTTCATTTAAACCTTTTTTGGAAAAAGAAATGGAAGTATTGATGAAATTTTAAGGGAAAAAACTGTATATACCTGTTCTAATGATATGGTCCGCCATCTTGGATTTTGGCCAATGACGTCATCAAATTAGCATAAATTATGTATATTTCATGATAAAATTCACATAAAATTATATGGGATGTTATTAATATTAGAAGCCATGAGTAAGTTGACATAAAACCCATAAAATTCTATTGCTGAAACAAAAATTACTACATTTAGCAAAAAATGCCTCTCAGAAACCCGTTGCCATGGCAAGAAAAAAAATATTATCTTATTACAATGATAAAAAATTGTTGCCAACAATATTCTAGGAAAAGTCACCAAGTTTGGCCGTTCTAGCGCTAGCCGTTTAGACGCTAGGTGACATCAAAGTTGGCGCGGGCACTTTTAGCCCCCCCCCGGTCTAGGTAGGGTTAAGTTTTACTAGGTAGTTTGACTGCGGGTGGACAGAAAGCCGCTGTACAGTAGTGGTGGGAGTCCCGCCTGTCGCCTATGCACGGCCTGAAAAAAATCGGAATTATCAGGGATGAGTTTTGTTTATTTGTTTATTGCCAGTTTGCACATAAAAATAAAACAGTATGTAATGAATATGTACAACCGAATGTGCGGGAGATCCGACAAAAACATAAGGCTTTATCAAGTGGGTTCTCCTAAAATCCAATTGTTTTATGACCTCTTTTTACACACGTGTATTGTAAATAAATGACAACGAAACAAGCAAATTAAATCAAATAGATTCAAATTAATATACAAGTTAACATGAAGAACTAACTAACTAACTAATTGACTAAACAATAAAGTAAGACTATCAAAAACATGACAAATTGAACAAAAAAATAAACTTCCATTAGTCAAATCATAAGTTATTATGCATAAGAGCAAAGGATAAACATAAGAAAGCAATATTAACAGAAAATTAAACTAAAAAGACCAATATTTTCTTTGGAGCAAATACAGCGATGGGTTCACCACATTTTACGACATGGCAGGGAAAGAATGAGAAACACAAGGGAAAACAATGATTTACATTGATATAACTATAATATGAAGTAACATACGACTAAAACAACAGTTGGATAGCTATTCCCTACTTTATTGGTTAGGATATTTAATTGCATAATGCAAACTGTTGATTTTCAAAATAAAAATAACGTTCATGCCCCGCATTCCAATGCTGGAGCAGGAAAGCTTGAAATACCTACCAAAACACTTGAATACAGACATACTGTCAGTATGGAAATGCTCTGTGCAGGTGTTAATCAAGTTAAATCCCAACAGCCAATCAGCAAGAAGAATGGAGGAAAGCTGCATGCCTATTGGTTGATGCCCTGCATTCCATTGTGATGACTCGTGGTAAACATGGCACACTAACACAGTAATACATTTGCTATAACACAGCCAAAAAACTCAAATAAAACCATTCTAAAAGCCTGTATCACAAAAATTTAAAAAACGCCTAGGGGTATTTGCCCACTGTACCTCCATACCAAATTTCAGGACCTTAGGCCCTAAAATGAAGAAGCTGAATCCATTTAAAAAATGACAGGAGAAGAAGAAGGAGGAGAAGGAGAAGGAGGAGAAGAAACATCAGAAAAAGCAATATGGTTTCACCACACCACTTCGTGTGGTGAAACCACTTCGTATGGGTGAAACCACACTTCGTGTGGTGAAACCACTTCGTATGGGTTCACCACAGCACTTCGTGGTGTGGTGAACCCATAATTACAAAAGAGTTGTGGAATGATTTAGCTAAGATGGGCTAAGACAACAGCGATGGTGGTTTGCCTTATTCTGAAGGGCACTTAAGTTGTGTCGCATTTAATGGATAGAAGGGTATCAAAATAATGAGGATACAATAAGTACCTGGAGAAGCCTGGCATATGAAGCAATACCAATCGCTGCAAGGTCTGTCACTCCACCTGTCTCTCTCGTGCATGAGTTTGGCGGTTACGACGCAGCGTTTTTTGCCCCCACGGTGGTTCGGTTGTCCCTCACCCCAGAAGCTGTACAGCCCAAGTGCAGAACCGTCCACCCACTCAAACTGTCCCTCTTCGGGCCGATAGTACAGGCCGATCCAGAAGCCCCTGCCGTGCTGTACGGACTTGTACAGTGAATTAAGGAAGGCGTTGGTCTTAGCGTCTCGGGGCATGACGAGGGTGCCGCCGTCTGCACGACAGGCCGCGGCCGCATAGCTGAAGGTCTTGGGTGTGCTGAAGACCTTGTAGCAGATTCCACGCCACATTGTGTGACCCTCGGGACAAGATGCTGGAAAAAAGATTTATATCAGCAACAGGCCATGGATGGGTCAAACTGAAAATCACGATATACGTGCAATAAGTCTACCTCCGGCGCTGTATTCCATATACGAACATTTAACATAGCACAGTATTAAAGGCGACCCACCCCACTAACCCACACACACAAAGATATGGTGACCCATATAACCTGACGTTTTCAAATAGACCAACATCAATTGCACCCATAACAGCTGAAAATTAAATTATGATTACGCAAAGTCGTCTCAATCTCCTGAAGACGTTGCTCCAAGGTGGCGGTTCGGATTCGCTCGTTGTCCAGGTCGCGCTTCAAGGCGTCAACAGTGGCGGACATGTTGTCTTGGTCGCGCTTCAAGGCGCCAACAGTGGCGGACAGTTGACGTATGTCGCGTTTCACAGTCGTCGACAATTGAGATATTTCCTACAAACGCATTTACCTACGTTAGAATACCGAACGTAAGAAGCAAAGTTAAGAAGCAAAGTTAAGAAGCAAAAAAAATTATTTCTTGTACCCCCCTTAAAAGCCGAATGAATCAGAAAACAGCTGAACAACAAGCTTTTCAAGACTGTTACATGTTTGTTGATGAACGCCAGAGGGGCGAGTCCCATGGCGACCAGGCTCAGCAGCACGGCGATGCCGGCTGCCAGGCAGCTGCGGCGGGCGCGGAGGAAGCTACAGACACCACGGCGGCCACTCGCTCCACCCGGATTCGCGCCGTCTGGTAAGAAAAAAAATAGTTCGCTCAGGTTATTGTTTACATCAACATTTACGCATAGTGATTCTCAGTTTGACCATTTTACACGTGTCACGAATATGAAATACTCATAATTTACCACTACGAAATATAGCATTATCGTATTGACTACAAGTCAGACCCTAATTTGCAGTTGCCTTTCAATGTCCCACTTGTCATACGTACATTACATATATATGCTATATGTATTTAAGTTCCATTATGAAAAGCAAAGGGTGAAGGGGGCTCTGGATAGAGATAGCACCCTCTCTCTTAGGTTGCATGCCCGTAGCCAGGGGGGGGGGTTTCGAAGAAAACCCCCCACAAGGCTCAAAGGTCCACTTTTTGGTCCACTTTTTATGTTAAGATCCACTTTTTGGTCCACTTTTTATGGAAAAGTCCACTTTTTATGTAAAGGTCCACTTTTTGGTCCACTTTTTATGTAAAGGTCCAACATTTTTCTTCAAAAGATGGACTGGAATCGTAGAAAAACTGCTCCCTTTGTCATTGAACAAAAATTCATCTCAGATTTTTTCTTGGAAATCCTCTCAAAAATGCCATTTTAGAAGGTTCATTTTTCAAAATTTTCCGGGGGAGCATGCCCCCGGACCCCCCTAGGAACCTCGACGGCGCTCGAGTTCCCCTCAAGCAGTGGGAAGGACCCCCCCCTCGAATACCAAAGGACGTGCTGTACGGAGAACTAGCAACCGGTGCCAGACCTGCGAGGAGGCCCACAAGGACGCCCACAAACGAGACATGAGGGCAGGGGGTATCGACCAAAAAGGTACTCATTTTCCCGTGAGTGAAGTTAGGAAAGTCGCGTTAAGTGCCTTTCCCAAGGGCACAAGATCTGTGACAAGGTGGTGTTCGAACCCAGGACCTCTTGGTTCCGAGCAGAAGACGCTACCGCTACGCCAAATGACCCCACCGATGGATATGTTAGATCTGGTCACAATAGTAGATTATGAAAATCCCTAAACAATAACATGCTTACGAATGGCATCTGTCTTACTGACAAAATAAGAGTTGAATGATATGGAGAGAAATACGTGTCTCCACGACTTCCATCTGAATTTAATATCTTTTCATCTTTATCACACGACGTACAAAGAACGGAATCCTTCTGATAAAGTAATCCACGTGAACTTCTGGCAGCTTAGCAGCCAGACCATTATTGTGGGCGTAGCGAAACGGATAAAAAAGCAAGTAGCGGTAATCTCTTTTAAATATTACACATTTTGGGTAAACAAGCGGGTGGCAACAAGATGGTGGTATAAGGTGGAAATAGATGATTATGATTTCTAAACAATTTTTTAAACACGTGAAGACGGGTTTTATCACTCATATTTTCGCAAAACGTCTAGCAATAACTGACAACGTGTTCACGTCTGTTTCGGTACTTGCATCTTTTGTTTCTTGATTTAAAACTTTGAAAGGTACGTTTGTTCCTAACAAAGGAATGCTGAACGTTTTTATCTGTTATATATCGTTTCCTTTTGAAAATTTTAACGCGTTGGGCTTCATAGAGACTTTTATCAATGTGTGCGTATAAAATTTACTAATTGCTTAAAGTTTAGGGGGGAAATCAGCATGCATTTGACAAGGTACACTGTATGCCATTTTCAATATTCCGCATCCAAACTGGCTGTTGTCTCAAAGTATTGTTTTGATGTCATTTTTCCTCAATCGAGACTGCCCGGCCGGGCTCCGGTTTGGAAATGTGACTTTAGCATTAGAAGGTAAAATATTAGTTCCTCGGACCCTCCATGTTTACAGTGGTTTCTTTCGTGCTTTAAAATCAAGCTTTTGGTATATATTACGAGGTATTTTAAGAAGATATTCTAAACAGATCTCAACGAAAACCTATATATGTACGCAAAAATTATCACAGACCAATCACGTTACCTACGTAATAGAAGTCCTCAGCATTAATGACGTTACAAGCACAAAGAAAAAAAAACAGGATGCAAGAAAAGAGAGAAACTTAAAACGTTTTACCTGGTATGGAGGCGTACGTGGCCTCGGGTGTGTTTTCATCGTCGTTCGCACGTGCCTGGTCATCAGCCTGGGGCTGGTCCATGGGTGGGTCGTCTGGGAAAATAAAAACCAAAACCCCAAAAAAATGTCGGACGGAGTCGGCGGAAAATTTGGGTAAGTCCCAATTTACTCAGTGTCGGCCTGACCGTTCAGCCCTTTTGTAGTAATTAAGTATACCAACACAGATGATAGCTACTTTTATGTAATCTCCAAGCAGATCCCTATCGGTGGCAAAAAGACAGTATCAAATTGGCCAGGCAGTATCCATTAGCCAGAGAAGGTCGCCGGCCACTGACGGTGGCGAGCTAAACTCCTATGGCTAATGGATACTGTCTTTTGCCACCGATAGGAATCTGCTTGGAGATTACTTTTATACTAAAATGCATTTGGTACATTACGAAACTCTGGAAATATCATGAAAAACTTTTTTAGAACATTCTCAACGAAAAGCTAGTACCCAAGTACACGAATAGTACTACGGACCCATCACGGTAACTACCTAAAAGAATAACTTAGCTCTAGTAAGGTTGCAACACAAAGCAATGAAAAAAAAACAGGATACGAAAATGAAAGAAACTTAAAAACGTTTTACCTGGTATGTTGGCGTACGTGACGTCAGGTGTGTTTTCATCGTCGTTCGCCCGTGCCTGGTAATCAGTCTGGGGCTGGTCTATTGGTGAGTCGGCTGGGCGAAAAAATAACAAAGATATAAAAAAAGTCATTTGTGAAAAATATTGGGCATTGAACATACAGAACAAGATAGGTAATATGAATTAAACGATTTACCTGAACTAAAGGCGTACATAGGGTTGAACATTTTCGCAGCGGCGTTCGCAAGTGATCGCCAAAACGACAGTGGCCGCCGCATACGCGTGGCGCCTAAAAATAAAAAAAAC